CTAGGCACTGGTGACTCCCACCTATAATCCTAGCTACTGAAGATGCTGGAATCTGAGGATCAGGAATCTGAAGCCAGCCTGAGCAGCAATTAATTACAGAAAAATCAAGAAAGTGGAGATGTAGCTCAAGTGGTAGAGCACTAACCTTGAGCAAAAGGAGCTCAGGGACAGTGCCTAGGCTCAGAGTTCAAGCCCCAGGACCAGCACTAAAGCAAAAAACAAAAAATAGTCTACACACACACACACACACACACACACTCGTACCTCAGGGGCTGCATGGGAGCCTGGGATAAACAGGAAGTGGACATGAGGCTGCTTTGTCCACATACACAGGGCATAAGATAGAGAAAAGAAAGGAAGGACATACCCCATGCTCCTCATGACAATTACACATGATGGACAAAGTCAGAGAAATGCTTTCTTGGCATTTATGGCAGGAGCAATTTAAAACAGGACAAGCGATCAGGTTTTTGTTAGATCATCAACCTCAGATGATTCAGATTTATATTATATACCCCATACTTTGTATGATCTATATTATCTAGCTCATCCAATTTGGATGATCTATTATATAGTTTCTATAGCATCTATACCCAGGAGAAAGTCCTTTTCCCCCTTCTTTTGGTGTCAGGAATTGAACCCAGGGTCTCACACATGCCAGGCAAGCATTCTACCACAGGGCCAAATTCCCAGAACACACTCAGGAAAATTCTTAATCCTAGCCCCTGAGCTGTTTAGCTTTCAAGCTGGGAGCCATCCGAATAAGGGTTCTACTTGCTCTCTTCAGTATCAAGAAAGGTTGTGGAACAGTTACCATACATGGGCAGAGAAGCTCTGAGCAGACAAAGGGGGAGGGAGGCCAGGGCCCCAGACTGGCAGTTATATAACCACCCAGGGAGTGCCGTAACAGCAAAAGCTCTGCCTTCCCTAAAAATACTAAATTCTAAAAATGCCTCAAGGACACCTCGCAAGCACATCAGAATAGCTGGAATTAATAGTTGAAAAACAATAGATTTCAAGGTATCAGTCCAATCTGATAGATTCACGTGGCTGCTAGTTTGAATAACTGTAGCTCCTCAGGAGCCCCAAAGAAACACATAAGCAGTATGTATCAGTAATGGCAAAATAAATGTCATTTCCTTTTTCCCTGACAATGAGTCATGAGTGTTGACCTACAGACTGTCCCCAAACAAGATGCATTCCAATAGTTCATTTCTAAGTAAGTTGTTACGAACTCAGAACATAGTTTCCCATAGAAACAATTTTAGACATGGTGGTTTAGATTTCCAGATATGGCCAAAGGAGTCAGTTTACTCATAAGTAACTTTACTAAGATAACCAGTACACAGAATAGTACTTTTCTATAAGAAAATGCCTCCCAGCTTCTAAGCTGTGATTTCTATAACTCCCTTCTCTCTCTCAATTCCATGGTGAAGGAGTGTTGAGGCTGGGTGGGAGGTGTATGTTGTGGGGGGAGAGGGCTGGGCTCCTCCAGTGGCACCTGTAGGACTCCATGGTGGGAGGGGGACCTGGCAGCATCCAATCCCACAGAGCAATACATTTGCCACAGAAACATTGGTAGATTGTTTTCATCTAGCAAGAACTCAGTAACCATTCAGAATGCTGCTACCCTCTACCGAGTACTTACTCTGGGTCAGAGCATGATTTATTTCTGTGTCTTCATTCTTTCTTTTCCTTACTTTTCTACTCTCACCATCTGTGAGGTATTTAAGAAAGGACACAGCCCACAGAAATAGAGAGACAAAGGGTGAACAAATGCAGCAGTGATACTCACTGGACATGATATTAAAAATGAACTATACAACTTGTGGGTAAGATGGGAGGGAGGAAAACTTGGAGAAAGCGAGGGAAGGGGTGACATTGTCGAAAAAGAAATGTACTCTTTGCCTGACTTATGTAACTATAACCCCTCTGCATATCACCTTCATAACAACAAGAAAAAAAGAAAGGACACTGCCCAGTGCCAGTGGCTCATGCCCTGAATCCTAGCCATTCATGAGGCTGAGATCTGAGGACTGCAGTTTGAAGCAGCCATAGCTGAGATTCTTATCTTCAATTAACCATCAAAAGGCTGGAAGTAGAGCTGTGGCCCAAGTGATAAGAGGACCACAGGCTTGAGTGAAAAACTAAGGGACAACACTTAGGCACTGAGTTCTAGTCCCAATACTCAGAAAAAAAAAAAAAAAGAAGGATACTGAGCTATTTGAAATAAATAGGGGAGGGTGGAGGGAGGGAAGAACTGAGAATAGAATTTGTTCAAAATGCATTGTGAGCATGCACAAAAATGTCAAACTGAAATCTCTTATATTATAAATGTATGCTACTTTCCACCCCTAAAAAAACAAATTGACTTCTATTTGATGATGCAGCCAGGAGGACCAAAAGAATGAATGAACCTTAAACTGTTATTAAGATCAGAGCTAGAGAGGGAGGTCCCTGGGGGCTGGCATTACTACAGAAAGTCTACAGGCTGCTATGTTAGACTCAAGCTGGAGATTGGTTTCAATAGAGGGTGCACCTGAGGCAGAGTTCAGATGCAAAACACCAGCGTGCAAATGATTCTTCAATTAAGAGATGGGACTAATGTGAGCTGTTTGATGCTGGAAAAAAGGGGAAGCTGGAAAATTGGGAATAAAAGGTGCAGAGTCCTCCAAAATTTCATGATAATTTTGTCTTTTGAACACAGTTTTATAGTGAAAACTTTAAAATCCCCTTCACACAAAAGTATTAATTTTCTTGTGTAAACTTTCATTTTTTTTTCTTGAGAGCAGACCAATGATTATAAACATAGATCTTTATTTCTCCCCTTTATTAAAAGGTAGCATAGGCCTAAATTTTTTTTTGGAAAATAACTTACTTTATCTGTATTTATTTTTAATATTTTAAATGTTTACATTTCTTAAAAACAAAGTGTGTTACAGGCAGGTGCAAACAGTATATCCTCTTTTGCAACCCAGGACTCATTGCTGGCGTGAGATTTTAGTACATGTAAGAAGGAATATGATTCCTACAATAGTTGGCATTTTGAGGGCTTGTTAACTCACACAGGTTGCTCTGAGTGAGCAACCTGATGTAAAAGCAAGACAAAAGAACAACAACAACAAAAAGTGTGCTTAAGCTGGGCACTGGTAGTCCATGCCTGTAATCCTACCTATTCAGGAAGTTGAAATCTGAGGATTGTGGTTTGAAGCTAGCCACCACTAAAATACTGGAAGTGGAGCTGTGGCTCAAGAGGTAGAGTATCAGCCCTGAGTTAAAAAAAAAAAAAAAACACACAAAAACTAAGAGTATCCAGGCCCTGAGTTCAAGATCCAGTATGGCATTAAAAAAAGAAAAAGAAAACAACTTAAGTGTGCTTTAACTAGATAAATATCAAGTATAAAACAGAAAGATAAACTTCCTAAGGTGGATTCAGCAGGGTCAATTTTGTATCTACAGATCCAAACCCTACAGTGGGTCTAAATGGATATTTTAGTTTAGGGCTGCAGGACATCTGATTCACAGCTCTCCCTGGCTTCATAGTTTATAATCATTTACTATGTATCTGCCTCATGTACTTGATTGTGAATTCTTTGAGGTAAAGATCATAACATTCAATTATCTCTTACAATGTCTGGCAAATGTGAGACATGAAATGGAGTATCAAGTAACTGAACAACTGGAGAGAAAGGATGGCCAAATGAATGTGAATAACCTGTAAAAGGAATGATATGAACAATTTTGCTAATCCACAGGACCCAAAGGAAGGAATGGCACTTTTTTTTTTTATGCCCAGTAACACAGTTCAGTGAGACACTGTGAAGACGTATAAGAATGACCAGCCAATCAAAAGATGAAATTACAGTGGAGAAACACATAGCATGCTCTCTCTCTTTCTGTGAGGAGAGTAACTGGCAAAAGAGGAAAGTTTGGCCTGAATGGGTCAAATTAAAACATTAAAAAAAAACTAAATACAATAAACCAAGAATGTGGAAATAAATGCAAGTGGCTTATACTTGTAGGCCCAGCTACCCTGGAGGCTGAGATCTGAGGATCTGAAGATCTGAAGATCACAGTTTGAAGTCAGCCAGAACAGGAAAGTTTCTGAGACTGTTCTCAACTACCAAGAAGCTGGAAATGGAGCAGTGGCTCAAGGGGGTAGAGCACTGGCCTTGAGTCAAAAGGCTGAGGACAATGCCCAAGCCCTGAGTTCAAGCCCCAGTACTGGCACAAAAAAAGAAAAAGAAAAAATATGTAGCTGAATGAAGAAGGCTGAGTGGCAAATGTTTGCAGCAGTTGTGATAACTGAGAGGAAAGCTGCCTGAATAGCAACAGCTGCTGGACAGCCTCTGGAACATGGCCAGGTATAACTTACATTAAAGCAAAAGCACTGATAAGCAATGGTGAGACTCTGTTTAAGTCTGGAAATTATGAAGCCATACTTTTTTTTAAATATCCAATACTATATAGTGCTTTTGGTTCACAGAGATGAAATATCAGCAAGCCCTCTAGAAGCTTCTGTCCTGTAGGGAGGCTTTTTGCCCCTTTAAAATATATGTAATTCCAACATCACCACCTTACTCCTAAAATAATCTTATTATTACATAGTTAACATGGCAACGTAATATGGCTGTCCCTGCTCCTAAATATTCTGTCCATGCAAAGAAAGGCTAAGCAACCTCTCAGACATTCCATTATGGTTATTTTAAATAATTGTGATGTCAAGGCACTCTATTTCCTGAAGCTGGGCTACATCAAATGTTGACACTGGTCCAAAAAAGAAGTTACTTGTTTGGATCCATTAAGGGGAAGTACAATTATACATATTTTTAAAAAGGAATTTTTATCTGTTAAAAACAAGCAGACCCTTTGAAATCTTGTACATAAAGACTGATTTTATTAGGGTACTTATAAAGCCAAACTACTTGTTCCAGTTGAACTAGGAACTAAACCAAATCAGCTCTAATGGAAACTCACTGTACACAGTAAATTGTCAGGGGTGGATCTGCAAAATTCACACAGCTTGGGACACACGTGCAGGCAAGAAGCAGACTACTTAAACACCGTCACACTCACCACTAGACCAAAAAAAAAAAAAAAAAGGTATGCATCTGTTCAGTTTCAATGAGTTCAAAGTTCCCATAGTTACTTTTCAAAATGTTATGAGCAACTTGATGCCTTCCAAGTTCAGGCTTGCAAAAGAAGTCACCCTCTCTATCCAAACCAGCCTCCTTGCTGCTAAGGTATATTTCAAAGACATTTTTCTACAGTGTTCGGCTTGAATTTTTCAAAGTTAATCTTTAACCAAAAGACCTGTGAACTTTCATTACAAGTTTACTTTTTCATGAATAAACTCCAGCTAAGAGGCAGTGTCTGTTTTTGATAATGAATGTCCAGATATTTACAGAATAGTTCTAATTTTATATATAAATCTTTCAAACAAAAAAATACTTTTTCAAGGAAAAGGTAATTTCAAAAGACATCCCCCCCCCCCAGCACACTCTCCTTCTTCTTTTCTATAACATTGTTTTGCTTCTTTTTTTCTTTTCATTTTTTGTTCTAATACAGAACAGCTATACACTTTTGCTGGGCTGTTTCTTCTTGGCTGGTGCTCTACCACTGGAGCCATGCTTCCAGTACAGCATTTTAGTGGCTAACCAGAGATAAACTTCTCACTGATTTTTCTGCCCATGTGGTTTTAAACGATGATTCTCCAAGACTCAGCCTCCTGAGTGGCTAAGAAAACAGGCATAAGCCTCCAGCACCCAGCTTCATTCTATTTCTTATGTTTTTAGAAGATTAGTTCTTCAGGAAAAAGGCCTTTTTGTCAAGAAATTCATTCTCAGAAGTCCCACAAATGTGTCAACAGATATGTTCAAAAGTGTTCTGTGAAAATATTGTCTGAAATAAAAATAAATGGAAGACAAACCAAATGTCCACCATCTTGGCTAAATAAACTGTATGTTTACATATATACTATAAAAAAGTACTAGATAATAAGACAAGGGAAGTAAATCTATGCATTGACACATACAGATGTCCAGTTTAAACGAAAGAAAACAAAAAAAATCCTATTGACCAATATATACATACAGAATGATGTAAATTGTTTTCAAATTATAGTTGACTATCTCTTTTTGGAGGGTGGAGGCTGGGGAGGAGGGGATAGTCCTGGAGCTTGAGCTCAGGGCCTGGGTGTTGTCCCTGAGCTTCTTTTGCTCAAGGCTAGTTCTCACTACTGCTTTACTTCTGGCTTTTGGGTAGGTAATTGGAGATAAGAGTCTCACATACTTTCCAGCCCAGGCTGACTCCAAATCATGATCCTCAGATCTCAGCCTCCTGAGTAGCTAGGATAAACAGGCATGAGCCACCAACACCTGGCTAATAGCTGAGTATCTTTAGAAACAAAACAATGCCAATATTGTTAAACTATTTCAAAGCACATGAAATGACAGAAAACCTGCCAATGAGTTGATGAAGCAAGTATAACATCGATTCTAAATTTGTAAAGATAGTACAAAAGGAAAAATAACAGATTATGATCACTTATGAATGTTAATGTCTGTTAGCAAATAGATTCCAAAACCAGAGTAAGAAAACAATTCATCACAACAAAGGGGATTGATACCAGGAATGTATCATTAAGAAATAAATATACATATAAACAAAATAAAAAATGGGCTGGGGTATAGCTCAAGTGCTTGCCTAGGAAATGCAAGGCCTTGGGTTCAATTCCCAGTACAACCAAAGAGATCCCAACAATATACCTGCTGCTCCAATGGGATGCCATCCACCATGTAATGATGCAGCAAGAGGGCATCCCCAGATATTGAGTGTGCAATGCCTTCTCCCAACCTCTAGAATCACAAGCTAGATAAACTTGTGCTTTGTAACTTGTAAAGTTATAACAACAGAAAATGGACTAGGACCAGCCCTGTCTGTGGTTGAGTGCTTGCCTAGCGTGTTCAATTGTCAACATCACAAATATAAGTATGCAAAATCAATAGCTTTCAAATACATATATCATAGTACCTAGAAAATGAAATGGACTAAACCCCCTTTAGGGCTGATTGCTTGTAACCCTCTCAGATTTGATCTCAGAGGCTGGCTTTGAACTGTAATCCTCAGATCTTAGCCTCCTAAGTAGCTAGGATTGCTTATTGATGTGAGCCACAGGTGCCCTGCTCCAAGTCAGTTTATAAACTGAATACCAACTGACACCAAAGATCTTTTCCTGGAATTGAAACTAATATTCACTCTCAAACCAATTTGTCAGCCTGGAACAAAACTGTGACTTAAGTAAGAAAGCTATATTGCTTGTGTTTCTCCAATGAATGAATTTCCTACCTTACCATCTTACAGAGCTACTCTATTCTCCTCTCAGCCAGGTAGGAGAAGGACTTAGGCTTGCTTAATCAAAGCTGAAAATTCTTAATTTTCTTGTGACATGTTTCAGTTTGAATATGTTGACAATTAATTAAAATTAAAAGTAACAACACAGTTTAGGCAAAATAAAAGGCATCTTGCATATCATATCTAGCCCATAGGCTGTCCATTTCTGACCTTTGGGGGCAAACTTTTTCTGCTAAGGGTCAGATAGAAAATATTTTTTTACTTTACAGGCTATACAAATGTAATTTGTGTTCCATATTTTCATTTATTTATTTTTACATCATTAATAATGTGCCTGTAATCCCAGCTACTTTGGAAGCAGAGGTAGGAAGATCCCAGTTGAAGGTCAGCTTTGGCAAAAAGTTAGCAAGACTCTGTCTCAAACAACAATCCAGGTGTGGTAGTGCACACAAGAATGGAGACCCAAGCCTGGTCCGGACAAAAACAATTAAAGCAAAAAGGGCCTGAGGATATAGTTTAAAGCGGTAAAGCACTTATTTTGCAAGTGGGAGGCCCTTAGTTCAAGATCTCAATACACTACCCTTGTAGGCCTTGGTCTTTGAGGTGACAGCTTGCCAGCTGTGATTAACAGAAACCATTAATCTTGAGATTTACCTATGAATACTTCAGAAGACAATCACATAGTATTATTTCTACCTTACAATTTCTTTTATATCAGACTAGGACAAGTACAACAGACATAAATTCTCTTTAGGGAGTCATTTCATAAGGCAGTGTGTTTCCCTTCTGACATGTAAACGGTATCTAGGAAACAGATTCTGAAAATCAGTTTAGGTACAATTTTGAGAACAGTCCATCCCACCTATCACATACTGGCTGCTTTTACAAAATACATCATAGTATCTGATAAAGTTCTTTATATTTCACTTGAGACCATTCTCCAAAAGCAGTACTCATAGATTTACAATTTATACTTTCTTTTCTTTTTTTTTTTTTTTGGGGGGGGGGTCTGGTCGTGGGGCCTGAACTCTGGGCCTGGTCGCTGTCCCTCAGCTCTTCTGCTCAAGGCTAGTGTTCTACCACTTGAGCCACAGCACCACTTCTGGCTTTTTTCTTTTTGCTTATGTGGTGCTGAGGAATTGAACCCAGGGCCTCATGCATGTAAGGCAAGAGCTCTACCACTGAGCCACCTTCCCAGCCCACAATTTATACTTTCTATTCAGGAATTACTCAGGGTGGTTTTTGCTTTGGGGCTGCCAGCTGTATGTTTTTCCTTTTATAATCCTCTAAAGAGAATTGTAGTTGATAAAGTAAGCATAATTTCTGAGACAGGCCAAGAATTTATAATCCCATTAGACTAATGAGGTGCCAATCTCAAAGAAAGTCATACTCACTTCACCCAGTATGATGTGCTTTGGTCTTGGCTCAACCTCAGAAAAACCCTTTCAGGGATTTTTAGGACCTTAGACAATTGTAAAACTTACCAGGATAGTGTGAAACCTTATTTAGATCTCTTAAATTAGGATAGCCAGGCACCAGTAGTTCAAGCCTATAATCCTAGCTACTCAGGAGGCTGAGATCTAAAGATGACGGTTCAAAGCCAGCTGGATCAGGAAAGTCCATGAAATTCTTATCTCCAATTAACCAGCAAAAAGCTAGAAGTGAAACTGTGGCTCAAGTGCTACTTCAGGCACAGTGCACAATGCCCTGAGTTCAAGCCCCAGGATCATCCTCTTCTCCGCTCCCCCAACCCCCAAAATGAGACCAGATGGAATCTGAGACTTAAAAAATACAAGAGAGAGGTTGGTTAAAAGAAAAAAAAAAAGTGGAAGTGGTGCTGTAGCGCAAGTGGTAGAGCGCTAGCCTTGAGCTGAAGAGCTGAGGGGCAGCATCCAAGCCCAGAGTTCAAGCCCCACGACTGACAAAAGATAAAAAACTAAAAAGTTTACTATACAGCTTTTATGACTGTCAATTACAGCATAGCTTACTGAATTATTTGGCTCTAGATCACTTGTAATGATTCTAGGTCTGGGCACTGGTGGCTCATGCCTGTAATCCTAGATTCAAGGAGGCTGAGATCAGCCAGCCTGGGCAAGAAAGTCCATGACTCTTATCTTCAATAAACCACCAGAAAACCAGAAGTGGAGCAATGGCTCAAAGTGCTAGATCATCACCCTTGAGCAAAAGAGCACAACAATGGTGCCCAGGCCCCACCACCTACAAAAATAAAATAGTAATAATAACAATAAAACCAGCCCAACACCTAAAGATTACTTAGAGTTTGGCTGGACCAATTACCCTGGTCCTCTTAGTATCTCTAATTTTAGGCAACGGGAAACTCAAAAGCAGTCCTTCAAGATGAAGCAAAATGATATAGTAGGCAAGTCACCCTTCCTAACAGATGGGGTGGTATAAAGTACAATGGACTTTATTACCTATGCCCCTGAGATTAAATGGACTGCATCTGCAGGGTAGTCCTCTCCTTTTCTACATTGTCATCACATTGGGAATCTGAAGCTGACTGATGGAAGTATTTTCACTATATCTGTAGGCTTCTCCTCCCCTTCCAGCAGACACTGGACTGAGGAAGGTGCTGTACTCCCCAGTTACTCATGTACAGACAGCCTCCATCTCGTTCTCTGATAGTCTCATAAAGCAAAGACCCAACAGCTTAAAAAGTTGCCTAAAAGACTTACAAAGCAGTATCTTTCAGGAACTATGAGAAATGGCTTCTTTTTTGAACACATATTCTGTCTTCCTAAACAAGGAAGCTTTGTTTGCTATTTACTGAACAGCAAACTGGGCCTGAGAAATTTTAGAATTCTTACAATGAGTGTTTTAGGAGAAAACTTATGGTGGGTTACTTCTATCGTTGATCCTCTGCTCCTTACATCAAATACTTTCTCCTGTGAGAGGAGCTGCTGCCCTAAGGCAACATAAACTGGCCCCAAGAACAAACAAAGATGGACCAATTTGTGCCTGCCCATGCCAGGAAGTGATTAAGTAGGCCCAGATCAAGTCCCAACAATACAAAGGCCAGATTCACTAGCAAACACTTCGGTCATTTCAGACATACAGACCATTACATTCAAGTCATTTAAAAGAATATCAGAACTGGGCACAGGAAGAAAACAGTTAAGCCATGTGGTTAAAAGGCATTATCATATTACTAATTTTTTCTTTAGATTTATCTTAGAGTACCTGTAAATATTCCAAATGGCTAAGTTGACCTGATAAAAAGTATATAGATAGAATACATTATTTTAAATGTATTCCTGTAAGTTCCAGAATTTCTATATAATCAGATGTTTGCTGTACAAATATATCATCTTATACAAATGCATAAATCAGGACAAAGTGCCTATGCTTCTCTTTCCAATAGAAAGGAATCAAAACTTCTAAAGGAAGTAGTCAGCTATGCACCAATGGCTCACATCTGTAATCCTGGCTATTCAGGAGACTGAGATCTAAGAATCTCAGGATTCAAAGCCAGCCCAGGCAGGAAAGTCAGTGAGACTCTTAACTCCAATTAACTACCAAAAAGCCAGAAGTGGAGCTATGGCTCAAGTGGTAGAGGGCTAGCCTTGAGCATAATAGCTCAAGGGACAGTAGTGCCTAGGGCCTGAGTTCAAGCCTCGGGACTGGCACAAAAAAACAAAAACAAAAAAAAGAAAGTTGTCTGCATGTCTTAACTCTAAATTTGAAGAACACCAATTTGTGTGAGTTTTCTTTGGTGTAAAATTTGGAAAAGATGGTGCAGCATACTGAGTATCAACCAAATAATTTTCCACTGAATGTTGAGAAACAGTAAAGCAGTTAGGGTTTTAAAAGTTATTTCTGTGTATGTGTGTGCATGCATGTTCATGCATATATGCACACATTTGTACAACAGAGCCTTCAAATATTTAATACTTGAATGGAACTTAAAACTGTTTTGATATTATGGCTTTGGTCTTTAAAACTCATTTGTAAACCTGCAGGATGGCTACTCGCTCTCTCCTAGTTAGATGAGTGCTATAGAAATATTGTTACCAGTCAGCTTTCAATCTATTGAAAGGATGAAGAATGCATTCATTTTATACTTTATTTAAAATTAATAAAATGATAAAGTTACACAATTCAGTACAGTTAGAAAATATTTAAACATTTACATACTCATTAGCTCATAGTTTCTTCATCACCATCAAATATTTTAGTCTATGTAGTCAAAGTCTTCTGGAATTCCAAACGTTTTGTCAATTTTACTTTCTTCAAACCCAAATTTTCTTTTGGCCCAAGATTTTATTGCAAATATATTATCTATAAAAAATTGAGAAATATTTTTGAAAACAGAATTATAAAACATTTCCAATACAATTATCTTCATTGTAACTTTGCTTCCTTCTGTTTCTTTTTGCCATATTAAAATAAGTTTTCTCTATCTTCTAGCATAGTGGCAATAATTACAGATAGGTCAATAGTGTTTTTTCCACACTTCCACCAGGAAGGCCAGACTCTTACTCAGTAATTAAGGGTTGTTCCTGCTCCCAAAGGAACACATTCTCTCTAGACTCTTTCTCTTCTCCCTCAGACTAATGGCTTGCAGACATCAGGGCAGTGTAAGGAAGAGGATATGAAGAGGAGAGAAAAGGGTTCTCCTCTCTTAAGACCAAGGTAGGAACAAATGTGTTCTTAGCATCCCCTGGGGGTGGGGGTCGGGGGAGGAGGGCGGAATTTAAAATGTACCATACCAAATGTGTTTTCTCTACTGATAGGAATTTATTTCAAGGGAAAACTATACCAAAGATATTTGGCCAAGGATATTCCTAGTGCAGAAGAGAATAAAACCAATGTGTCTACTCATTGGGCAGGGCACCAGCCTATGTATAGAGAGTCCTAAAGTATGCAGTCACTGTGCGAAAGATGACTGAGCATGGGCAGTAGGGATGACAGTGGATTTTTTTTCATCTTAGTTTCACATGAGTGTGTGTGTGTATGTGTTTTGTGGCTTAAACTCAGGGGCTCCTGTACTTGATTGGCTTTTTTGCTCATGGCTGGCAAGTTACCACTTGAGTCACACCTTACTTCTGGCTTTTTGCTGCAGATAAGTCTCATGGATTTGTCTGCCCAGGCTGGCTTTTAACCATGATCCTCAGATCTCATCTTCCTGAGTAGCTAGGATTGCAGGTGTGAGCTACCAGTGCCCAGTGATAAATAAATTTCTGATATTAAGTTTTGTTTCTAAAGTGAAAACTACTGTCTCAGAGTAACAGTGCTAACAGTGTCTTTTCTTTTGATGAAAGTGTTATGGAGTGTCTGTCAATAGATACTATGATGAATCTCAACTTCTATAACAAGTAGGAATACTAAAACAATGGCCTGAGTGTCTGCAGTCAGCACACTGCTGGCAATCACAGCCAAGCATGTATGGAGGGCCCCGTGCTACAGAAGCAGGTAATGAGACTATTGCGGATATTAACTAATATAAACAAACTATGCTTTCTCACTGAGATCCACAAGGAGAGACAGCAATCCCAAGAAGGTGAGTGTGTTACAGAAAGCGCGAGCACAGAGCACAGAGCTAGCCTGGCAGGCTCGGTAAACAGTTTCAGGAAAGAAAGAGCACAAGCTATGGGCGATAGTAGAGAAAGATACAGGAAGATGACCTCGAACCTGCATCAGGAAGAAGAAAACAGGCACCACGGAAGGGCTATTCCATAGTCTGTAAAGGAAGGAATTCCACGAGTTTCTCAAGAGGACAAGAGCCAATTTTATGTTAAGTACTCAAATATGATAAATGAAGATTAAAAACAAAAGGACCAACAAAGAGCCTTTCTACAATGCCTAATGGACCAAGTCTAAGATGTTGATTAAACATTTTGTTTCCAGCCTTTAAGACAATGTTTATCTACAGTCTTGATAGCACATTCTATACCAAATAGTCCTGTTATACAGAAAATTTTATAAATGGATGAAAAATATTCTGTGGGGTTTTTTGTTGTTGTTGTTGTTTTGGTGGTGAGGCTATGGTTTGAACTCAAAGCCTTGCCAGGCAAACTCTACTACTTGAACCACTGTCTCCAGCTATTTTGCTTTGGTTATTTTTGAATAGGATCCTGTTATATGCCCTGGCCAGACAGGACCATAGCCCCATCTGGGATCACAGGTGCTTGCCGCCACACCCAGTTTTTGGTTTTGTTTTTTTAATTGGTGGAGAAGATTTAAAAAAGTTTTGGCTCAGGCTGTCCTGAAACCATCATCCGTGGATCTCAGCCTCCCAAGTAGTTAGGGTTTACATGTGTGAATCACTGTACTTTATAAGATAAACACACTTTCGCTTTTAAAGAAATAACGTTAAGAATTACTGTTACTGTTGCATAATGGTATCCCTCGGTACAGGATGGGCAAACCACTTCCACTGAGTCTATGGCAGGACCTCAGAACATCATCTATCCTCTCATTCATTATGATGTGTTTATGTGAGAGAGAGAGAGAACAACTCCAAAATAAGCCATGCACTAGTGACTCATGCCTGTAATCCTAGCTACTTAGGAGGCTGAGATCTGAGGACCCAGGTTTCAAGCCAGCCTAGGCAAGAAAGTCTATGAGACTCTTATCTCCAATTATCCCACAAAAAAGCTGGAAGTGGCAGAGCGCTCGCCTTGAGCACAAATGCTCAGGGACAGTCTCAGAACCAGTTCAAGTCCTAAGACTGGCAAAACAAAAACCAAAAGCAAAGAGACCACCAGACTCTTAGGCTGGGGTGTGGCTTGGTGGCATAGCACTTGTTAATAATGTATGAGACAGCATGGGGCACAGCACAGGAGAAAAAAAAAAGAAGAAAGCCAGGCGCTGGTGGCTCACGCCTGTAATCCCAGCTACTCAGGAAACTGAGATCTGCGGATTGCGATTCAAAGCCAACCTGGGCAGGAAAGTCCATGAGACTCTCATCTTCATTTAACCCCAGAAAACCAGGAGGGCTGTGGCTCAAAGTGGTAGAGCACTAGACTTGAGTAAAAAAAACTCAGGGACAGTGCCCAGGCTCTGAGTTCAAGCCCTATGACTGGAAGAAAATTTTAAAAAAAGAAAACACGTACTATGTTAATTTGTTAAGTAAGATTTTACAGGATATAATTTGTTAATCATATTTAAAGTATCACCAAACATTTAGATGTGGTAGTTCTAGAATTGTACCTTGAATATGTCATTCAGCAAAACTGATATACTGAATTATTAAGGTATTATTAAGTATTCTTAGTCCTAGAAACGTTTTAAGGACTTTGTTAAGCAAAAAGAAACCTTAATCTTTAATTGTTATATAATAATTTTTAGCTATAAATAATGTTGACAATTCTCTTTATTTGTTTGGAAGACAGGAAGGTTTCCTGAGGTTATCTGTGCTTTCAAACTGCATGTTTCTGATTTCATTCATGTTTTTCTTTCTCCCTCCTCTCTCACCCCTCTTCTCTCCTCCCGCCTTTCCTCTCCCCTCCTTCTCCTCTTCATTCCTCCCCTCCCTTCTCCATTACTCCCCTCCTGTCTCCATTCCTCCCACTTCTCCCCTCCCTCCCTCCTCTCTCCTCCCCTCCCCTTTCCTCATGGAAACACTATTCCTAACAGCTGCTCTGAGTATCTAAAAATACCTTCCTTCCACATGCTTCCAACACTTCCAGGTTCTTTTGCAGTTCCTAACAGGGGGGGAACGCTCTTTGAACTGGTTTTTTAATTAGAATTTTGGGAGTTTAGGATGCACTGGGAAACAATTTCTAATTATTTAGCAACTGGAATTTACAGTGACCTGGAGCAAGGATGGAGACTATTTGAGTCTAGCACTGTGCAAAAGAGCTTACATTCAGACTGCTTCATTTCCTCCTGAAATGTGGGCTCCACAGTATCCTCGGCGCACACACGAGAAGCAGTTCACGGAGGCTCACGGGGAACCTACTCACATGGGAGCTCAGCTTGGACTCCTTCCAGAGTCCTTCAGGTCCCCTCTACCCATGCCCCTGCAGCCTGCTCCACTGCCAGGTGCGCTTGCTCAACAATTCCCAGGGGAAGTCGCCTGGTGACACTTGTCTTCTCTTTAACTGAAAGGCTGCTTGCTTCTTTTGTCAGTCCAAATTTTATGTTGGAACCCATACAACACCATTGTAATTAATATCCATTTCTATTTATTAAGACACATTTCATTATTTTCTTTAATGTTCATTTGCTCCTTTCACCCTTCCTTGTTCTTATCACTAAAGCATTATATTACTTAGGAAACAATTTGTTATAAATAAAATGATCATTTTTATAGGAGCCAAAGGCAACTATGTTGATCACACCAATTTTCTTAATTCTAAAATAGACTAGGAAAGTGTCTTTAAATTTCCATGATCGCAGGCCTGGACAGTGTCAGGAAAAGCTGATGCAAATCTCTGTTCTCCCCGTGACTAATCATCTCCACTACACACACACAGTCACGCTAAGCCTTGAACATCTCTGCCTCAATCTCACCCAGCTCCCACGGAAGCATAATGAGGATGAATGACGGTATTCACCAGGGCAAAACCATTCAATGACCATGTCTTATAATTAAATATTGGAAAACACCAATGTAGTCTTCCAGTAGGTTTGACCCATATTCATCCAACTTGTAATAAACCATGGTGATCTCTACTTACTTTCTCTTTCTAAACCTAAGGTGCCTATGTAAAGCCTTCATAGTTCCTATTTTTGGGAATTTCTCTGTGTAGATCAGCATGTGTCCAGTGCAGCACTTACATGAGAGCAGCCTCCCAGGGAAGAAAACATCCCACAGTGGGTGCTCCTGAGCTAGGACTCAAATCACAAAAGCAAGGTTCTAATAATGCCTGTTCTACAGCCTAGCACATATGTGGCCTTGGCCTCAATAAGAAATAATAATTTTTATCTCACGAGATTTTTGAGGATATAAAATGAGATTGAGCCACAGACATACACTACAGTGACAAATGACCAGTCCTCAATAAACATTAGCTACCATTATTTCGAGAACAACATTTGGCTTGTCATGAAACTTCTAAAGGTGTACTTTACATTGAAATAAAGGTAGGTCGGGAGCCAGTGGCTTATATCTGTAATTCTAGCTACTCAGGAGGCTGAGATCTGAGGATTGCCTTTCGAAGCCAGCCTGGTCAGGAAAGTCCATGAAATTCTTTTTTTTTTTTTTTCTTTTTTTTGGTCTGGTTGTGAGGCCTGAACTCTGGGCCTGGGCGCTGTCCCTCAGCGATTCAGCTAAAGGCTAGCGCTCTACCTCTTGAGCCACAGCGCCACTTCCGGCTTTTTTCTTTTTGCTTATGTGGTGCTGAGGAATGGAACCAGGGCCTCAGGCATGCAAGGCAAGCGCTCTACCACTGAGCCAACTTCCCAGCCCAAGTCCATGAAATTCTTATCTCCAATTAACTACAAAGCTGAAAGTGAGCTGTGGCTAGAGTACTATCCTTGAACACAAAAGCTCAGGAATTGCACCTGAGTTCAAACCACAGGACCAACAAAAATTAAATACCTAAAATAAAGGTAAAACTTCAACAATATATTTCATGTATATATATATGAAACTTAAATAATTAGCTCAAGTGGCTTGTCTTGGAGAAAGATGCATTACAGTTAGACTTGAAGTAATCATCAATTTTACCAAAATCTTATACTTTCACAAAATGAGTAATAATATTTTTTAAAATAACCTGAGTAACTGAAATCATTTAATGTATAAAAAACATAAGTGACGCACATACATTTCTAGAAATGACCTTTCCTGCATGGGCTATCTTGGAGCTGTTCTGTTCCCGTTCTCAGTCTCTTAAGTAGCTAGAATTCCAGGTGTGAGTCACTGATGCCCTGCTAAAAATGACCTTTTGTGAACAAAGTGGGCACAAACCATCTGAGTTTTACATCATACTAAGTGTGGAAGAAGCTTAGCTACAGTTTCCCAGTGTAATTATAATACATACCAGTCCATCTGTTAGCAGCTTCTTTGGCTACTTTATTTGCTTGACCTGAAAGAAATTATATATATATATATAATTATTATATTTACATATATGAAATTACATTCAGCTATCCACAGATTAATGTTTTCACATGAACAATTTTTGTAAAACCTGCATAATATATATTATGTATTATACATAATTATATATGTACACAATGTATTATGTATATTATTATTATTATATATCTTATGGCGCCTTTAAAAAGCTCAAATAGTGGAGAAACATTGTATATTACAAACTTGCTCAAATTCCCAAAGAAATTTTAGATATCTGGAGTTATTATTTCTTTCTGCCAGTACTGAGGATTAAACTCAGGCCCGGAACTCTCAGTTGATGTTTCCAATCAAGGTTCTGGCTCTATCACTTGAGCCATGCCTGTAGTTCTGACTTTTTGCTGGGTAATTGGAGATAAAGAGTCTCTTGGGGGGTTGGGAAGGTGGCTCAGTGGTAGAGCGCTTGCCTTGCATGCCTGAGGCCCTGGGTTCGATTCCTCAGCACCACATAAGCAAAAAGAAAAAAGCCAAAGTGGCGGTGTGGCTCAAGAAGTAGAGTGCTAGCCTTGAGCTGAAGAGCTGAGGGACAGTGCCCAGGCCCAGAGTTCAGGCCCCACGACAGGACCCAAAAAAAGTCTCTTGGTTTTTTGTCTGCCTAGGCTGACTTTGAACAGTAATCCTCAGTCAGACCTTACTCTCCCGATTGATTAGATTAGCTAGGATTACAGGTGTGAGATATTGGCATCCATCTTTTAGTTACATTAGTCAAGAACAGAATGTTCATTCTTGTTCTTGGTTTTGTGGGGGGGCTTTGGGGTTTTTTTGCAACACAGAGGATTAATCCTGGGTCATTACACATACTAATCAAGTGCCCTACCACTTGAGCTAGCTTCCAGCCCTGTATACAATTACATCTTTATATTTTAAAACATGTATAACCAGGTGTAGCAATGCATGCCTGTAATCTTAGCACTCAGGAGGCCAGCATGGGCCAAGATATCAAAACACCAAAACAAACAAGCAAACACACATTAATAAAGACATGATTAAATGTGCCTGTACATTTCTTTCAGCTTAATCTGCATAAAACTGCCCAGATCAACTGGGCATAAGTATTACTTGTAATGACATTTATCTTTTGATTAAAATATACACATATGCAGTGGTTTTAAAAAAATTACATTCACATGGTTGTATAATCATCATCATTATCTAACTCCATAACATACTAACTTTTTTTTTCAGCAGTACTGGGGTTTGAACTCAGCACTTGTGCTGGTTATCACTTCAGCCATGCCTTCAGTCCAATTACAGAACATTTTCATCACATAAAAGGAACCCTTGTACCCATCAGCAGTCATGACACATTCCCTAGCCCTTCAACCACTAATCTATTTTCTGTCTCTATGGATTTCCTTCTGCACCACAATGTTTCCTTTATCATTCAAGGTTTCTTTATGTTCTGGCATGCATCAATATCTATATTCCACAATCTGCTTATCTAGTCACTAGCTAATGGATATTTGGGTTGTTTCCACTTCTCTGAATAATTTAATAACTTTTGTATGTATGAAGATGCTTTCAGGTCTCTAAGAATGGAACTGCTGGCTCATTGGTAATTATGTATCATTCTGGGGGAACAAATAAACTTTTTCCAAAATGGTGGTATCATTTTATAAATCCTATAAAATACCAATTTAGAAATATAAAGGTTTCACATTTTCCATATTATCACCCATTTATTATTTTCCATATATATATTTATTTTCCTTTAAAAAATTTTATCTATCCTAATGAGTATAAAGAAACATTTCACTGTTGTTTTGACTTGCATTTCCCTAGTGACTATCTTTCTTGTATGCTCACTGGCCATTTGTGTAGGTTTTCTTGGAAAAAAGTTTGCTGAAATCCTGAGTATTTTTAAATGAAATTATTTGTTATTTATTGTTATTTGCATTACTGTTATTGTTATAACACTTCTTTGTCTACTTATCAAATACAGAATATGCAAATATTTCTCCCATTTTGTGTGTGTTTTTCTACTTTTTTGTTTTCTTCTGCTTTTGATGTCATAGTCAAGATACTAAGGCCTAATCTGGGGACAAAGTAATATATACCTCTACAATTGCCTTTTTTGTGTGTAAAATGGATATTTTTAGTGTACTATTATCTCCTTCCTCCATCCCCAACTTCTTCCTCCTTCTTTTTCTTCCTTCTCCAACTTTTTTTTTATAAGGCTGCTGGGATTTGAACTCAGGTTCTTGTGCTTGTTAGGCAAGCGTTCTACCAATTGTGCTATCCACCACCAAATTCTTTTCTTTCGTAATAAGCTTTCACATAGAGTCTCACATTTTTGGCTTGGGCTAGCTTCAGACATGATTCCTTGCCAACAATTACCTTGTCTCCTGTATAGCTAGGATTAGTAAGGCACCACTGTACCTACCTTGCTTGTTCTTTGAGATAGGGCCTCGCTGTTTTTTTTTATAATCTGGACTGTTTTTGAATTCCCAAGTAGCTGGAATTATAGGCATGAACCATCTGTTCAACTCCTTCTCTTTTTCTTTTTTGTCTCTGGAAGTGAAATACTTTGCTCCTATAGAGCCATTACCCACACTCCAATTTATACTGTTATTGTCACAAACTTATTTTATACATTGAGATCTCATGATTATAGGTTATTATTACTATCAAGTAGGGAAACAAAAGGAAATACAAATACACACATCTATATATCTATATACACATACATATGTACAGGTCTGTAATGATTGCTGTTTACCTTGCAATATTTTAATTTTACCTTTTTTTTTTAAATTGGTACTGGGGCTTACACTCAGAGACTGGGTGCTGTCCCTTAGCTCTCTGATTAGGGTTGGCACTGTACTACTTGAGCCATAGCTCTACTTCTGGCCTTTTACTGGTTAATTAGAGCTAAGAGTCCTAGTCTTTCCTCCCCAGGTTGGCATCAAACAGTGATTCTCAGATCTCAGCATTCTGAGTGGCAAGGATTACAGGCGTGAGCCCTTAGTGCTTGGCTGCCCTTCATTTTTGAAGGAAAATGTTTCTGGATATGGGATTCCTGCTTGATAGATCTTGTTTTTCCTGCTCTTTGAACACTGTCTCAGTGACAGAGAAAAAAAAAACAAACACAGCTGTTACTCTCACTGAAAATCCTTGTTAGTGATAACTTGTTTTTTCAAGATCCTGTCTTTACATTTAGACTATTTGATTATGATATGTCTATGTGTATCTGTTTTTTCATTAAATCTGGGCTATTCTCAGCCATTATTTCTTCAGATATATTCTCCTCTTTCTGGAACTTCCATTATGTACGTATTAACATTCTTGATGTCTAACATAAAACATTAACATTTAATATCCTCATTGTTTGTTCTTGTTCCTCAGATTGGAAATTTCCCACTGAACTGTATTCAATTTACTGATTCTTTCTTTAACTTGTTTAAGCTTCTGTTAACCACTTGGTGAATTTTTCATGTCCACTACTGTAGTTTGTTTTTACTGAGACAGAGATCTCATTATGTAGTGCAAGCTAGTCTCAGATTGACAAAGTAAAAAGAAAATAAGGCTTTTATCTCTAACCTCTTGAATATGTTTAATTAATCTTGCTCATGCTTGCTAAATGATGTTTATAATTCAATGGGAATTATAAAACAAATATTTCTCACAGGCCTTATTGAAAAACAAGAAATAATACATAGCCATGACAATGTGAACCAAGGGTTATTATGCCTACTATCAGCATTTAGTGTCCAAAATAAACTGTAACAGGCTTAGATAAGCCTGAGTGTTGTAATATGGGTTTGATAACTATGCTATTAAGAACCAAATCCTATTAAAGTCCATTTGCAAAATGTATAAGCCTTTAATCCAATGTAATCTGCTCTGTTGTAACTTGATAGTTCAAATCCTATGAAACCCTTTTTCTTTTTTTTCGTCAATCATGAGGCTTGAACTCAGGGCCTAAGAGGCATCCCTGAGCTTTTGTGCTTAAGGCTACCACTCTACTACTTTGAGCCACAATGCACTTCCAGTTTTCTGGTGGTTAATTGGGCTTTCTTGCCAAGGTTGGCTTTGAACCATAATCTTCAGATCTTGGCCTCCTGAGTAGCTAGGATTACAGGCATGAGCCACCAGTGCCCAGCACAAACCCTCATTATTAAAAAGCACATTTTAAAAACAATTTTATTGGGAAATGGGAATTTGGAGTGAGGATAGGTTAAAGCCTAATAAAATTGTCTAAAGATCTGTAGTGTTTATTACTTAAATATTTAAGTTTATTAGGCTGAGCAAGGTAGCTTATACCTGTAATCCCAGTTACTTGGAAGGTGGAGATTGGGAGAAATGAGGTTTGAGGTCAGTCTGGGCAAAAAGTTCATAAAACCCCTTCTTAACCCATAAACTGAGCATGGTGTTGTGCACCTGTGATCCAAGCTAAGCAGAAGGGGTAAACAGGAGGATCATGATCTGGGTTAACCTGGGCAAAAATGTGAGATTCTGTTAAAAAGAAAAAAAAAATGAGCAAAGCAAAAAGGATCAAGGAGAAAAATTTCAAGTGGCAGAATGTCTGCATAGTAAGCAAACCCTGGACACACACACACACACACACACATACACACACACACACACACACACTTCTTAGATCTGTGGGATTATAGTTTTCACAAAAATTTGTGAAACAAATTAGTATTATATTTTGCTAGCCCAACAATCTCTCCATATGCCCTACTCACCCATATCCTTTTAGGAGTCCAACTGCACACCTATTAGGTAAATCTATCCTATAACTCATGAATACCAGAAACAAGTTTACATTTGTTTATTTTGAATAGTTTCTATCACTATGTCTTCAAATAGACTATCCCTTTCTTTTTTTTTTTTTGACGGTTGTGGGGCTTGAACTCTGGGCCTGGGCGCTTGTCCCTCAGCTCTTCAGCTCAAGGCGAGCACTCTACCACTTGAGCTACAGCACCACTTCCGGTTTTCTAGTGGTTTATTGAAGATAGGAGTCTCACGGTCTCTCCTGCCCGGGCTGGCTTTGAACCGTGATCCTCAGATCTCAGCCTCCTGAGTAGCTAGGATTACAGGCGTGAGCCACCGGCGCCGGGCTTATCCCTTTCTTCTGAAAAATTAAGTATGCTGTTAAATCAAACAAGTGAAATTTTCATGTCAGACAGTTTCCTATCAAGAAAATTTATATCTTCTATATTTGTATTTAACTTGAACATATGGCTTACAGTTATAGCATTGTAATGTAATGCTTTGGCCTGCTAATTCTAATCTTTGGGTACAATTTGACTATCTATTGTAGATTATGTTTGACTATTTTTTTCCATGCCCGGCTATCTTTACTTATACGCCAGATATAATAAATTTTATTATGCTGGATGTTAGATTTTTTTTTTTTGTCGGTCGTGGAGCTTGAACTCTGGGCTTGGGCGCTGTTCCCTGCACTCTTCAGCTCAAGGCGAGTGATCTACTGCTTAACCCACAGCGCCACTTCCAGTTTTCTAGTGGTTTATTGGAGATGATAGTCTCACGGAGTTTCCTGCCCGGGCTGGCTTTGAACCGCGATCCTCAGATCTCAGCCTCCTGAGTAGCTAGGATTACAGGCGTGAGCCACCAGCGCTAGGCCTGATGTTAGATATTTTTGTGTTTTAATAAATATTCTTTTCTATTTTTGGGTCCAGTTGTGGGGCCTGAACTCTGGGCCTGGGCGCTGTCCCTCAGCTCTTCAGCTCAAGGCTAGTACTCTACCACATGAGCCACAGCGCCACTTCCGCCTTTTTTTCTTTTTGCTTATGTGGTGCTGAGGAATCGAACCCAGGGCCTTAGGCATGCAAGGTAAACGCTCTACCACTGAGCCACCTTCCCAGCTTAATAAATATTCTTGAGCTTTTTTTTCTATGAGTTTGAGTTATCTGGCAATAATCGGATGCTTTCAAATCTTAGTCACATGGTTTATTAGACAAGTCCAAAACATAGCTGAGTTCAGACCTATTTATTTTCCTCTTTTTAGGAAAGACTCTTCTTAAGTTCTTTAACAAATGACATCAATATAAACTTTCCTCACCTGGCTGGAGAGAAATGAACACTATTCTTGGTCCTTTATGTGTGCCTGGCACAGTTCCTTCCAATCTATCAAAGGTTCTTCTCCAGGCTTGGACAGTTCATCCTATTTCTGCTCTCAATACTGTGAGAACTTGCTGTGCATACCCAGAGTTCTTTCTTCACATTCTTTCCTCTCTACCGCTCTGTCCTCTGAAATTTATACTCTTCTTAAGTCTTCCTGATTTTCAGTTTCAAGTCCTTTACTCAGGGACTCAATGTACAAGGTTCTACCAAAGTTCTCTATCGAACTGTGACCAGAAGCCTCTTCCAACAAAACGAGTGGGGAAATTTAATACCCACTTCATCTAAGAACCTCAGATGAACATTCCCTTCTCTAAGAACCACAGTCCTTTATTGTCTGATATCAAAGAGTGTGTATGTCCTTGTGGGAACGCTCTCTAGTACTGGGGCTTGAACTCAGGGCTTGGATACTGTTCCTTAGCTTTTTCACTCAAGGCTAGCTCTCTACCACTTGGCCACAGATCCACTTCTGGCTTTTTGGTGGTTAACTGGAAATGAAAGTTTCACAGACTTTTCTTCCTGGGCTGATTTCAAACCATGACTCTCAGATCTCAATCTCCTGAGAAGCTAGGATTACATATGAGCCACTGGTGCTCAGCATATATCAAGTATTTTAAAAACCAGTTTCAGGTGTGAGGATTAGCAGGAAAAACTGGGAGAAGCAAAGGAAGATAGAATTAACACCAACTAAAAAAGCTGCTAGGTGCTGGTAGCTCATGCCTGTAATCCTAGCTACTTAGGAGGCTAAAATCTGAAGATTGTGGTTCAAAGCCAGCCCAGGCAGAAAAGGCCCTGAAATTCTTATCTCTAATTAACCACCAGAAAACCAGAAGTGGAACTGTGGCTAAAAGTGGTAAAACGTTAGCCTTGAGCAAAAGAGTTCGGGGACAGCACCCAGCCTGAGTTCAAGCACCATAGCCAACCAAAAAGAAAAAAAAAAAATGTAGTCATTACCTGACATATAACTGTAACCCCTCTGTACATCACCTTCATACAATATTTTTTAAAGGAAAAGAAAGTTTCAGCTAGAGGTGTACTTAAGTGCTAGAATGCCTGCCTTGCACCTATAGTCTTGGGATCAAACCCTAGTATGACACAGTAAATAAATAAATCTTAAATAAAATGATATTTCATACATTCTGTACTGACTGAAAACATTAGTGTTGCATTTGAATAGGTTTATGTTTGCTATTCTGAATTGGAACCAAAGTTAGCTATTTTTTCAGGTCAGAATTTAAGTTTTTTGTCTTATTATAGCTCATTAACTTATTTTGTGGGGGGCAGTACTAGGGTTGAACTCAGGGCTTCATGTACATTAGGTAAGCAGCCTACTGCTGAGCAGTATCCTCAATGCTCTGCTTAGTGGCTTTTTATAGAAAAAGAAATCCTGCCTTCACATCTACAATATTCAGAAGACAAGTAATATTATATTTTTTCTTCATGATACTAGGCTTTGATTACAAGGCTATGTACTTGCTATACAGGTGCTCTACCACCTGAGCCATACATTTCAGCCTCTTTTGCTTTTGTTATGTTTTTTAATGGGACGTTCCATTTGTGTGAGGCCAGACTGACATAAATCCTCCTGCTTATGCTTCCTGTATAGCTGAGATGACAAGCATTTTTTTGGGGGGGGAGGGGGTGTCAGTCGTGGGGCTTAAACTCTGGGCCTGGACGCTATCCCTCAGCTCTTCAGCTTAAGGCTAGTGCTCTACCACTTGAGCCACAGCATCACTCCCGTCTTTATCTGCTTATGTGGTACTGAGGAATCAAACCCAGGGCCTCATGCATGCAAGGCAAGCACTCTACCACTGAGCCACCTTCCTAGCCCCGACAAGCATATTATTGAGACTAGAGTGCATGAATTTTTTGCTCTGGCTGGCCTTGAACTGTGAACCTTCTAATCTGCTTCCCAAGTAGTTATGATTGATGTGCTTTAATGGAGTTTTTTTTTTTAAATCACAAACTAGTAAAGGAGGAGTCCTCTCATATACAAGTCAAAAAACTTATCTCTAATAGATTCGCCATTACAGAGTCTCCAGAATTCTATTATAGTACCAACTTTAAAAGATAGTACATTAAAAGATAGTCTAGGTCAGATACTGATAAAGAACAGTGAATTCTCAGCCAGGTGAACTGGTACACATATGCAGTTCCAGCTACACTAAAGGATAAGGCAGGAGGGCTGTTTGAACCAAGGGATTGAGATTAGTCTGGATATTGTAGCAAGACCCTGTCTCAATGAAAGAAAGTAAATGATTAAAGTCTCTTGGTTACTGAAAATTTTAAAATACAAAATTCACTTTTTTTTTAACCTAGATATCATATCTTGGATAAAATTCACATTGGCACGTTTCCTTGAGCTAGGAAATAAATTACCAAGTTTTTAAATCAAGGTTTAAGATGGTACAGAGAACTTAAGTACTAGTATAAAATTTCAGCTGTAACTGCCCCTCTCAATGGTTTATTCCAAACTCTAGGAAATCCATCATTCTTTGTAGTCACTGAAACATCTTCCGTCATGTTTTACTACCTTTCTCTGAGGGTGATACACTTCCCAAAGTTGCTGCTGACTGAGATGAACAGGAATGTCAATATCTTAACTTGCAGGCCTGAAGTAATTTGTTCCACATCAAGACTCTGTCTAGCATGACCCTTTACCCCTACTGATATCTTTAACTGGAGATGACCACATTAAGCTTAGGATCATCATCACATAGGACAAAACAGTGTAATAAACTTAATAAAAGTTTCAACCATTCCTGCATGGGCATGAGAGCATTCTTGTGCCCTCAAAAGCCAAGCACTAGATTAGCTTATGACCAAACTATTTGTAGGTTAATTTCATTGTAGTTTAATTTTAAAGTAACCAAATATTTCAAATTTCTCTCAAAGCTTTCTATCACACTCTATATTAATTTTTCTAAAAGTTCTCTTACTAAAAGATACTGGAAGTGGTGTTGTGGAGCAAGTGGTAGAGTGCTAGCCTTGAGTAAAAGAAGCCCAAAGACACTACCCAGGCCCTGAGTTCAAGCCCTACACTGGCAAAATAAATAAAAATTTAAAAAATCAAGTTTTATCTTCACATAATATATAAAAATTTCAAACTAAGTTTTGGGGATTGTGGTTTTTAAAAAAGGTCAGAAAATCCCTGGTATTAAAAAGCAACACAATGTAGAGTGAATTTCTAGAACTTGCAAACACTTGTATTTATGATATTCTTTTTAGTACCTACAAGAAAATGATGTATTTCTGTCCAGAAGCAAGGTGCTTGGAACCAAATTAGCTCTTTCTCTGTTTTCCTAGTTTCCCAAGCCTCTATTTTATGTCTTTATCTTTCTGCTTCACCATACCTTCTTACTTTTGAAATACTTGTAAGTTTTCAAGGTTATGGCTACTCAATGCTTAACATAAAGTCTCAGTGGAAATATGAAGATGATAGTTTTCTACTTGCTATAATCACAAAGTTAGAGCACTCAGACAGAAACTTACGTATTTCTTCCACAACTTGTGGGTCACATTCTTTGTACTTTTCTACTTCTGCTTTGCACTGTTCCCTTTGGTCCCGGAGTGAAGAAAGCTCTTTTATTAGCATGGTTCGCTCTTCCTGCATTCAATATAGTTTTATGTACAATTAGGAAATGGAATCTCATGTTAAAAAGTAATATATTTTATAGACACTTTAATTCCTATAAATGATGTATGTTAGGCTTGTATATATATTAACATAGTTGTCTTTTGTCAAATGAAAACCCTTTGTACAATTACTTAAGTATAATAAGAAAAATACAGTTGGCTCTCTGTATCCACGGAATCTCCAATTTCAGATTCAACCAATGGCAGATCAAAAAATACTTGGAAAAAATTACCCTAGTACTGAACATGTACATATTTTTGTCATTATTCCCTAAACAACACAATGTAATGACCATTTGCTCAGTATTAGTTGTAAGTAATCCAAAGATGATATGAGAAGATGTGGTAAGACTTTGGCAGATATTACACCATTTGCTTTTTCTTTATTTTTTTGAGAGGTGGTACTAGGGATTGAACATAGGGCCTACTATTTGCTAGCAGAAGCTGTACTCTCGAATCACACCATCAACATTCCTTTGTTAATTTATGTATGTTATTTAAAAGGTAGGGGGTATTTTTAACCAAGACAAGACCCAGAATAGATCCTTCTGTCTACAGTCTCCTACATAGCTAGGGCCACTGGTATATCCCACCACATCCAGCTTATAAATTTGCTGGAGTTGGCCTTGAAATTCCAGATCCTGACATCCTGATTAGCTGGTTTTGCAGATGTCAGCTATCATGCCCTATCTATACTATTTTTTTTTAATATAGGACACAAAAATCCTTAGATAGATTTTGGCTTCCTCAGAAGACCCAATCCCCCTTGGATATAGAAGGAAACTGTATATACATATATGAACAGCATAAAAACAAGCTCAATTTTCATGTTACTCTGAAATCTCAAGCATCTTTTGTATCTACTAAAATTAAATAGGGGTAAATATGGTTACTGATTCTGTTTGGATAAAATCAAAAGATGACTGTGTTATATATTAGAGAAGAGCATCCTGCATTTGGGGGCAATTTCAGTAGATTTATGTGTGTAAGTAACAGTTCATGGTAACATTAATCATTATACAATTATCCTTTAAGAAATGTTCTAAGCTTGGCACTCAGACCAGAGGTCAAACCCCAGGAACACGCTTTAGATGATTTTTCAACCAGAAAGGATGATTAACCTTTATAAATATTTAAAGCTACTGAAATATACTGTCAAAGATTATAGTTTATAAGACATATCTTAGGCAAACTACAATAAAATTCAAGTGGTCAAAATGTTCCTTGCTACCTTGTATTTTTATATTTGTACTTTTCTACCTTTGCTTTTGGCTATTCCTTTTGTTTTAAAGTAAAGCACATTCCTTTGCTCATCCTCATACAGTAAAAAGCATACACATAGCAGCATGCTCTGAAGCAACATAGTCCAAAACAACTTTGCAGTGACCTAGAGCTGTACACTTAAAGGCAGGAGTCACTAGCCACATATGGCCAATGAAAACATGAAATGTGGCTACAATGACTAGAAGACTGAATTTAACTGTATTTGATTTTAACGTAAACAGCTAGATAGAGTTAGTTCATACCACATTAGCACAGCTCAAAGAAGATTTAGAATAACTAGAACAAAAATAAATAACTAGAATATTTTCCATCTATACTCAAAGTACCGAGGATTCAAGAGGATAGAGACAAGGAAAAAGAGCTAATGAAGACAGAAGAACTAGATTGGTGAACATCTGCGCAAGTAGTGCTAACTTTCCAGAAACCCTGAACTGAAGCCTTCCTTTGTAATGCTAGTCAATCAGATATGAACTGGAAATAACAGTAGATAACTACCTCCTTGGATCCTTAGCACGATCAATGAATATAGAACATACATTTGTAATTGTTTGGTTTAGAGTAAGTACAATATACCTGTTAGCTATTTCTTCAGCAGCAGCAGCAGCAGCTCCATGAACAATCACTGGTATTGAAAGGGTAAGTATTTCTGAAAATGCCCTGGCTAGTAAGACTTCATCTTTCTCAGAAGCCTTTCTGTATCATTACATCTTTCTGACAGCTGAAGGCTCCAAACTAGGGTTACTGCCGGGTTTCCCCCATAGCTGCACTGGTTCCAGCAGATTAAATATAGTAGACCAACTGGCTGAGTTTCTGGGCATGAATGTCACTATTACTTGAAGATGCTTCCATAAATTATTTCAGCATAAAAGTAAAAAGAAGAGCAAATAAAGAAGTGCTCATTGCTATTGTTGACTGAGGAAATTATAATAGCTTCAACTTATGCCAGAATTTCCTATTCTTCAATTCCTACCTGTAACTGTGCTAACCACTAACATAAAAGAATATATACAAACTAACTCTGACAATACTGAAGTCACTGTAACTTGTGATGTCTGTTCCTTTCTGCAAAGTTAATAGTTTTGTCCAGTCACGTGACAGATATAGAGCTCTAGGTGAAATATTTTGTGGTTCACATACATCTATAATATTTAAAATATATTTTTATAAATCAAAATCTATTTTTAAATATATTTTGACAATAAATCTATTATGAATCTAGGTTTTGAGCTAATAATGAAATTAGAAAGTGAAGTGATTTGTAAAAATCTCTAACTTTTATAGAATACATTGTACTTTTTTTTCTTTTGCCTGAACTCTGGTCCTGGGCACTGTCCCTCAGCTCTTCAGCTCAAGGCTAGCGCTCTACCACTGGAGCCAGAGTGCCACTTCTGGCCTTTTCTGCTTATATAGTGCTGAGGAATCGAACCCAGGGCCTCATGCATGCAAGGCAAGCTCTCTACCCCTGAACCACCTTCCCATCCCCTACATTGTACTTTTTAAAGTAAAGTAGATCAATATCTAAATAATTTAAAAATACTACAAAGCCACAAGGACATTGTGATAATTACTTAAAGTTTATAAGATGAAAGTAAAAAAAAATCTTAAAATGCACGTAAATTTTAATAGGTCTTATTATGTACCAGACAATCTCCTAAGTGCTTTATAAACATTACCTTATTTAATCAAGCCATACCTAATGAAGCAAATTTTATTATTCCCATTTTACAAGTAAGAAAACGAGAATAAAGAATTCAAAATATTTTCAAACTCAGGCAGTCTGGCTCCAGGGTTACTGTTGATGTGTGTATACACATATACACACACTTGTACATACTGTATATATGCATACATATAACACTTATATATGCATACGTATAAATGTTATATGTATGCATATGTACATACACACAGCATTTATATTTATATTATTAAAGAATCTAAAGTCACAAACATACCGTATCTTGTCGGCCAATTTTAGCTTTCTCAATGCTCTTCTGTAGGTGTGCATGCTTTTGGCTTCCCTCAGACAACTAGAGAATCAAAAACAAATAAAATTCTTATTAATATATACTTCCTTGTCACATAGCCCAGGAAGACAAAATGAAATTTGTTTTTGACTCCAGGAGTATGTCACAGAAAAGTCAAAGACTATACCAAAAAAGCAATTTTTATCACATTCAGGAAAATGAATCAGCTGTCAGCCTTCAGTCTTTTCTACACAGTCCTCATTTATCAGGCTTTTCACCTCTACTCCAAAGAACCTCTATATCCCAAATGAGTGAGAAACTGAACTTGAAAATTTTAAAAAAACAAGTTTTTAATAAGTTCTCTTCAAATTTTATTTCACTTATGACTAAAGTCTCTTCAAAATACTGTTTCTTACAGACTTACAGTACTTTGATGTGTTTCACTAACAGTAATGAGCGTATCACTTATTATTCCCCCAGAAGAAAGCATTTTTTGAGGAACTGCACACTTTACAAACTCTCCAGGGTGAGGGGTGGGGGGCGGTGGTGATGGGGGGATATCTCTTGGGCTGCTGCCAATGTTAGGTATGTCTTATATATCTTGTAGAAGTCGGTTTAGCTGTTTCCTCAGCTTAGAAAGCTTGAAGAATGCATGGCTCTCTACAGCAGAGCAGCAGGTGTAGAACAAACATTAACATGTGACTAGGCATCAGCCAGAAAGGACTGGTGAAGTGTCAAATTACTGCTTCCCTTCCCAATTTTAGTCATCCTACCTGGAGTCTGAAAACTCCCAACATCACATCATTTGCTATAAACTAGTCACAAATTTCAACTCATCCAGTGATTGGGAAAAAGCTTCCTTAGCTTATTAAAAATGAACTTTCATAATGTGATCTAGTTTTATAGAGGGTAAACAATATTTAGGTAACTTTTTGTTTAAAATTCAGAAAAGTCCTTCAAAATTTAGTTGCTGTGTCCTGGCTTTCAGAAATCTACTTCTCAATACATATAAAGAGAACATTATAAGCCTGCTTCTTCGGCTTCTGCTACTGCTGCTGCTGCCTCTTCCTCCTCTGTGTGTGTGTTTGTGTGTCTGGTCATGGGCTTAAACTCTGGGCCTGGGTGCTGTCCTTGAGCTCTTCAGTTCAAGATGAGCACTCTACCACTTGAGGTACAGCACCACTTCCAGTTTTCTGGCAGTTAATTGGAGATAAGAGTCTTATGGACACTCCTGCCTGGGCTGGCTTTGAACCACAATCCTCAGATCTCAGCCTCCTGAGTAGCTAGGATTACAGGAGTGAGCCACCAGTGCCCCTCTAAGCTTTATTTTACTAGTTCTCTAAGGCACTGATTTTAATACACAGCATTCACAAGATCTCCTGACTAAACAGCATTGCCAAACCAGTTGTACCTCTTCTTGAGAGCCCTTATCTTTCTCCTTTAAATTTTTTAATTAATTAATTTTAAAAAATACATATCCATTGTAGATTTCAGAGCCAAAATAAGAATTAAGGTTCTAAATTTAGCAAGGAGATGTAGTTCTTCATAATAAAGGTGTTTACCAAATAAAGTTTATCAAAGAATCTACCTAAAGAATCTACCTGAAGGGGGCTGGGAAGGTGGCTTAGTGGTAGAGCGCTTGCCCTTCATGCCTGAGGCCCTGGGTTCAATTCCTCAGCACCACATAAGCAAAAAGAAAAAAGCCGGAAGTGGCGCTGTGGCTCAAGTGGTAGAGTGCTAGCCTTGAGCTGAAGAGCTGAGGGACAGCGCCCAGGCCCAGAGTTCAGGCCCCATGACTGGCCCCCCCCCCCAAAAAAAAGATTCTACCTGAAGTAAATTTAAAATGTATGTAACAGTTACATTCAGAAGTAGAGATCTTTCCAATTAAAATGCACATGCAGTTCAACACTGGTGGCTCACACCTATAATTCTAGCTACTCAGGAGGTTGAGAGTTGAGTATCATAGTTAGAAGCTAGCTTGTGCAGTGAAGTCTGTGAGACTATTATGTCCAATTTCCAGCAGAAAGCTTATGGCTCAAGCAAAAAAAGCTGAGTTCAAGACTAGAACTGACACACTCACACACACACACAGAGTTTGCACACATATATTAGCACAACACTTTTCCATCAAAATATTTTTAAAAAATCATTTGAGAAGTGCTAGCCAAATAGTAAAAAATTATATTAAAAATAAGCCAACAAGCTGGGTGCTGGCGGCTCATGCCTGTAACCTAGCTACTCAGGAGGCTGAGATCTGAGGACCACTGTTTGAAGCCAGCCCGGGCAGGAAAGTCAGTGAGACTCTTATGTCCAATTAATCATCAGAAAACCAGAAATGCACTGTGGTTCCAAGTTGCAGAACACTAACCTTGAGCAAAAGAGCTTGAGACAAAGCGCAGGCCTTGAGTTCAAGACCCATGACCCCCAACAAGAGAAAAAAAGCCAACAGGGGATATGTATTTTTACATGAAAGAATTTGAAAGACAGCTGAATCAAGAATTCTTTTAATTCTAATGATAGCCTTATGTGTTTTAATTTATGAATTGATGAATTTTCATGCTAAATAATAGAGAATGACACAGTCTAAATTGTATTACCAAGACAGAAGCTATTGCTACTTATTCTAAGTACTGAATTTTGACTTCTCAAAAATCTTACTGCTGGGAACAAAGGAATCAACTTGCCGGGCTGCCCTTGCTCTCTGTACACCTATCAGAAGCATTCCTGCTATAGCTCCTAACACACTTTGGAAGTAAGCCAGAGCAGGCCTCAAGCAGTAAGAGCTGAGTCTTAGGTTCTGCACATTTGTCATATGAACCAATAATTCTCAATCTTGTTAAAACATAAGTTGTTGGGTCCCATCTCTTCAAGTTTCTGAACAGTGAAATGGGAATGGGGAATCAAAACCATGGCCATGAAGCAAATGCTAGGCAAGAGCTCTATTCCACTGAGCCCATGTTCAACCCCAAGAATTTGTATTTATTACATGTTCCCCTATAATATTGATCCTACTAATTGTCACTATAATTCTAGGAACTACTGATCTACACATAAACTTGTTTCTTAAGTAACAAATTCAGTTAAAATACTCATGACATTAATAAATAGAAAAATATGACCCAGTTCTTAAGTAAAAATTATATAATCTGCCTTAGAAAAATAATTTAGAAATATCTGTATTCAGAAATTCAAAGTATAAATATTTACAAAAATTATAAAAGGAGGTACTATATATTTTAAGAAGGTATTCACCAAATGAGTCCATTAAAGAGCAAACTAATCTGGCTCATTCTACAAGTAAATCTAAAGCCAATCTATAGCAAGAACATTCCCAAATTTCACTAAAGCAATCAATCATTTTTGGAAATCTAGTAGCTCAGAATACAGCAGCAGCTGCAACAACAAAAACTACCTATAATTAGTAAAAACAGGATTTCATCTTTAGATTTGAGGATCTAGCACAATGCTTCTCTTGAATGCATTCCAGGCCACCTATTAGAGACACTCTGGGTAGAGAAACATAATGCTCATGTTTTCTAAAGGGCTAATTTCACTGCCTGAAGGAACTGCCTATTCACAGGAAAACAGAAAGACTGATTCCAGCTGGCTGCTTTGGAATTCTGATTTGCTCTTTTTTAGAAATAAAGAAATCTCAAAGAATGAGGGGAAGAATACGGAGATTTTCACAGGTGGGGGAAAAAAAATGTCAAGGAACAGAGAATAAGAAGAGCTACCCCATCAGTCTCCACTGCTTCATTAAGATTCATGTACTGTGTTGTAGGAATAAAAAAAGGCCCTGTATCTACCATGCATGCTTAAAAAATTAAAATTCTTTACATTTCTATATATTTAAAGCCTTGTTAGAGTATCTACAATTTAAAATGTACAAACTTTTCCACTGAGGAGTTGCTTGTAAGAAAACAGCGAACACTAGAAAGACCCACTTATACATATATATTTGAGCAGTGTTACCATCTCAATATGAGAGAAAGGTTAAGTCAGGGTTTTCCAGTACCACTGTGTCACAATTATGCAGTCAAATGTGTTAAAAGACTTTTTTGCCAGTCCTGGGGCTGAAACATTTAAGCAAAATCTCTTCCTCTCTAGTCCCACACTATCTCTACACTCCTCAGTAAAAACCTAGTGTACACTTTCTTGTCAAATCCAGCTTCACCCACTGAGATACAGATCAATACAGACAACATTTGAAAACATAAATGGGACTTTCCTTTATGTAATGCCTTGTAATTTGCTATTTGCAGAGAAATCTCCATAGATATACACAGATAGGCCTAGTCTTAAAAATAAAACATCAACAACACAAAGAGTCCTTTTTTTTCAGAAGTTTTTTAAGTCGGCAAAAGTAGTCAGAAGATACAGAGATTTCCTATACCATCCCCGCCCCATCCCTACATAGCCTTTCCCACTATCAAAATTCCATACCAATAGTACTATGGTTACAATTCATGAGCCCACATGAACATCATCACCCATTATGGAGAGTTCACTCTTGGTGGTGGACATTCTAAGAATTTTAACAAATACAGCCACCACTGAAGGGCATCCAAAAGTAAAGCACTTCCCTAAACATCTCCTGTGTTCCATTTATTCATCCCTCCCTGCACCTAAACTCTGGCAACTAATGACCCACTTATTGTCCTCATAGTTTTACCTTTACCAGAATGTCATGGTTGGAATCAAACATTGTACAGTCTTTATGGACTCATTTTCACTTAGCAATATGCATTTCAAGTTCCCAAGTCTTTTTTATAGTTTGAAAACTAATTTTCTTTGCAACACTGAATAATATTCCACCATATGGATAGCCCACAGCTTGTTCATGTATTGAACTACTGAAGAACACCTTGGTTGCTTCCAAGTTTGGGCCATTATGAATAAATCTGCTATGAACATTTGTGCGTGGGTTCTGCATAGACTGAGTTTTCAACTCATTTGGGAAAATGCTGAGGACCATGGTGGTGGGTCATGTGGTCAGAGTATGTGTAGTTTTATAAGAAAACTGCTCAACTGTGCTCCAAAGCGACTACAGCTTTGCATTCCCG